CGGAAAACTGAGAGAGAAATATTTACTCTTGTTTCAGAGACTATTCAGCAATGGAATAGACTGGAATAAGAGGGAATACTTTCAACTCATTTGCATCAAAAGCTCAAAATTTTTCTCCATAGTTGGGAGAGAATAGATGGAATAAAACTGGATTAATAACTCGGATTTTGACTAAATTGTAATAATTCTTTTATTATGCTGATGGATAATAGGGTTATTATTATCTTTCACATAGTAATACTTTTAAATTTGACTTTCTTTCACAAGAGAACATATTTTACACATTTCAATCGCTATCTCATCCAAGCAATATAAATCATTTCAACTTGATTATATCCATGATTGGTTGAAAAATAATCCCTCTGAATTATTAGCTGAATAGAATTTTTACCAACAAGTGCAAATGCGGAGTAGCATCTGAATAGGGCCTCCTGAGGATTTTCCAGCTAATTTAATTTGGAAGGTCAGGACAACTTCTAGGGTGACGTTTTTCACCTAGGAAGTGGTAAGGGAAAGCATTTTGACACATGACAAGTTGATTAAGAGGGGAACAGTTTCAGCAAACAGATGCTACCAAAGCAAGAGCGCTGCAAAATCATGCAACCACATTCTTTGGTGGTGTCCATATGCTTATTGGAATTGGGGGTTGGCTTACGGTTTCTTGGGTGTGTTTTGTTGGCAGGTTCAGTAAGGGAGGAGATATAGGCATCAAAGGTGATAAGAGATTGAGACTTATCCTTTTAGGTACTTTTTGTGCTATTTGGAATGAGAGGAATAGAAGGCTTTTCAGGGGATAGAAAATAAATTTGATATGCTTAAAAATTTTTAGTTTTAGATCCTGAGTTTTTTGTTAAGGGGTCACCCAATATATTGGAGCAATGATTTGGGAAATCTAATTGCCATCTTGCTAGATTTATAAATATTGTTGCATATGGTTTTGTACCCCTTAGTGCTTTTGTGTACAGTTATTTTCCAAAAAAAAAAAAGAAGTGCAAATGGAGGGTAAACTAAAGGATGCTTTAGGACTCAAGTCACCAACCGGTTCCACAAGCAACATATCAATGGCAGAAGCTTCAGAACAAAAATAACAAGTCCACAATGACAAACACTCTCAGTTAAGTTAGATACCTGTAAACATCTCTTGTGCGCTCCACATCTTCTGCATCAAGCTCTTCATATAGTGCGTAATTAATCCTGGATTGCAGGACAATGTGAAAAGCCAGGAACAGAGAACAAACCTAGTCCAAATCACAGAAATTTTGGAAAAGAAAATACTCACTACAAGTAAATATATCTCTGCCAGTAATGCTTCTCCTCAGCAGGCGGTACATTAGAAATGGCCCTCTCATAAACTTCTCTGATCCTTTCCTTATCCCCCACACTTTCTTCCAACCTAATATAATCAAACCAAGAATCATAATTCAAAGGATTCTTCCTCACCTCGTCCTCGTACTGAAACCTCCTCTTACCCTCAATGGCGCCCTCAATCCCCTCCTTATCCCCATACTGCTTCTCGAAAGTCACAAACTTCATATACAGATCCTCTGCTCTCCCTTTGGGAATGTGATCCAAAGCAAACTTGTAAATGCACCTAGCCCTCTCAACCTCCTTGCACCTCTCCTCGAATTCAGCGAACCCCACAAACAACTGTTCTGCCTCCTCGTCCTCTGCCAGCTTCTCCACAGCACGTTCGTACACACTCCTTGCACGGGCCACCTCTCCGTTCTTCATCTCGAACTTAGCATACCGCACCCATGCAGAAATCTTGGGATGGCATTGTATGAACCGCTCGAAAATACCTCTGGCACGATCCACCTCGTTGTAGCGAAGCTCGAACTTAATGTACGACAGCCAACCTTGTTGGTCTGGGGACCAACTCATCCACCGTTCGAAAATCTGCCTTGCGCCAGCCACATTGCCCAGCAACTCCTCCATGTGTATGTACTTGTACCATAGCTGGTCCACTCTGGGAAGCAATGTTACTGCCCTGTCCCAACATTCCTAGCGTGGTTTATGAACTTGTTCCTCATCTCCACCTCCGCGTACTTGAGCCAGAGGATATGGTTTCGGTAGTCCACCTCCAGGGCTCGCTCCCAGACGGAACGCGCGCGGTTGAAATCTTTCCGCGACTCCTCCCATTGTGCGTACTTGACCCAGACGCTAGTGCTCCACCGTGCGCGACGGATATGGTCCTCAAACCCTTTTCGCTTCCGGAGCCGGTAATCAGCAAGCTCGGTAGAATCAGTGATCTTCTGCTTCGGAGGACGGATTTCTGCCTCCTGCCGCTCGCGTGCCTCCCGGAGGATCTGCTCAGCAGTGATTTGCACAGGGGCTGGGGTTTTGTTCTTGACCCGAGTGGGACGAGGCAGCTTAACTTCTGTCTTTTCGGGTCAAGTAGCCGAGAGAGGGATCCGCGTCTTTTCCTGACGACATGGGAGACATGGAAGTATTTGACTGATTACAGAATTAATAACTATCAGAATCCTTACCTAAAAATAATCAGAGCTCCCTTTTGCTGTGAATAACTTTGAGAAGTCTTCTTCCTTTCTTCCTGCTTTTGATTTTTCTCTGTTCCAGACTCTTTTAAAGGTCACTCTTAATTCTCTGATTCTAGAATCTCTAAAACCCCTTGATTTCTCCTCTTCACTCTTTTCAGCCTCTAAATTTTTCTCAATTTCCTGGCTCACTCTGATTTTTTCACCTATTCCTCTCTCTCTCTCTCTCTCTCTCTCTCTCTCTCTCTCTCTCTCTCTCTCTCTCTCTCTCTCTCTCTCTCTCTCTCTCTCTCTCTTCCAAATAGACGAGCGAGGGAGAAATGCAACGCGATGATGAAGGAAGAAGATTTCCTTGAAGGCAGAGACGAGACGCCGAACCGCTGCCGCTGCTCTCAAATTTCAACCTCGTCACAGAGAAGTGAAAAAGAAGAAAAACGTTAACTTTTTGGATTAAGGATTATTGCCACATTTTGCCCCACAAAACGAGACTGCTCTGCGCCCTGATAATAATAATAATTAAATGATAATAACGGAATAAAAAAAATTTATGTTTAAATAATTATGTATTAATATATATTAATAATAATTATTTTATTTAAATAACACGATAGTATAATTATATTTTTAATTAAAAGTATTGATTTAAATATATTTTATGATGTATAACGAAAAAAAAATCAATCCGATAATACTATTGATTTTATAATTTTTAAAATTTATTAATCAAATACTGTTTACTATCATCATATCAAGTTAAAAATAAAAATAAATAAAATTTTATCACACTATTAAATTATTATATATTAACTAAATATTATTTACCACTAAACAAACGGAGTGCAAAGGCTCCTCGCCAGACAGCATGTTAGTTAATTATATATATATGGACTTAACATGTAAATAACAAAAATTAGAGGGTTTAAATATACAGGTAAAATATTTGGTCTGCAATATTTTTAACTTAATTTTCAGATATTTTTTATTAAATA